TAAACTATTACTTTGTGGTGACTTCAATATAAACTTGTCTCACAAAACCAGTAATGAAAATTATTTAAGAACTACTAAATCATTACATAATATTACAACAACTCATAAATACAAACAAACCAACCTGAATAATCAAAAATAGTAAGCACTGGCTATGAATCAAATAATAATCGAATGCAAATAAAAATTGTTTTTTTTCTGTTGCTACATTTAAATACAAGGTTTCAGTGTACACATTGCCGCAGTATCCTAACATTCCAACAGAAACAAATACCCCTCGCGGAAGCAGACAATAAAAAGAATCCATAACTATCCCCAAGGATAACATAATAAATTTCAAAACTGTGCTCAGATTTTGAAAACTGGAATGAAGTATATAAGGCAAACCAATACAAATGATAAGTTTAACTCATTCATAATATATACCTTAAGACATTTCAATGCCATTTTCCCTCAAACTGAAAAAGATCCAAAATAAGAAACTAAATCATGGATTACACAGGCACAAGTGTCATGTGAAAGAAAAAGCGCATGTTTAAAATACTAACAATAACAAATGTAACTCAAACTTCATTTCATATTACAAAACATATAATCGAACACTAAAAAAAGTAACTCATACAAGGCAAAAATTATAGACATGATAATACAGTTGCAATTGCACCTAATAAAAACAAAAGCCATGTGGGACTTATAGAACAATAAGACTACAGCACAAATATAATAACAAAAAAATAAGAGCTCCTACTAAAAAAACGGAAACTGCTACAAGACCACAAGAAATGCGATATAATACAATGAACAATTAATAAATATAGATAAACCAAGTTCAACTCACAATAATCCCTACAACATAAAACCAACCCACGAAAACAAACACTATATATAATACACAATCAGAAAATAATATGATATATTATATATAGAACCACAACAAACCCCCAACTCTGAAATTTTTAAATATGGACACACCATAGCAGAAATTCTCAAGCAAGGCATGGGAACACATCACCCTCACCCAGTTGTTCTTATTAACCACAGTGCTACCAAAACCCATGTATCCAGAGAAACAACAAACCATAACTCATCAAATCTGCAATTGACTCTCTAAAATCAGGCATATTTTTCGCAGATATATTCAAAATGCAAAATTTAAACGATTGCAAATTTAAATGACCGCATGAACCTACAGGCTATTTCCTGTTATTCAGGATTTTCCCATCCCAAACATTCTTGGAATGGCTTTTCAATGCGATAGATCTCAAACAGTTTCTCAATGCATAATAAATGTCTTAACAAATGTCACAACATGGGCTTCAGGAGTATTAGATCACAGACACAGCTATCTTCTCCTTTTTAAATGAATACTTGTTGACTAAATAAAAAGGTAAATTCCCATTGGCCCCTTTTCTTAGATTTGTTCAAAAGCCTTTGGGAACATCTATGACATATATACTTTTAAGCAAGACTAGAAGCTATGGAATTGAGCATTGCATCAAGGCAATGGATTCAATCATATTTATCAAACCGTAGTACAAATAGTTGCCTCCAACACACTAAGAAAAACAAAATCTCTTCATACTACTTAAATTCCTCATACTACTCCTGTCCTCAAATAATAAATTGTGGAGTCCCCAGGATCATCTTGGGGCAATACTATTTCCTTATAATACATAATGACATGCCTCTTGGCTTTAAAGGAAAACAAATATACTTTTGTTTGTAAGATGAACACATTCATCAGTCAAAGCAAAAAACACAAAAATCATTAGAAAAAGAAACTCACATCGAAACCTTTGCAAGCAACTAGTAAAAATGGTTTCAAGATCACAACTCATCTAAACACCAAGGCAGACAGTCTCTCTAATTTCATGAATCCTCGATCTTAAAGAAATACATCTCAGCAATTTGCTCATAAACCAACCCTGTAGGGCGATATCTTATATGAAACTAACTTCCTCGGACTAACACTTCAAAGAAAACCTAAAAAATGGAACACCAAATCTCATTTAACAGCTCAGCAAATCTTGACTATGCTATACATCCTCAGGTCAAGCTCCAACATTGGAGACACTCGAACAAATGTATTTTGGGGGAAATTGTCATCACACCTAAAATATGTGATAATATTCTGGGGGAAGAATGTCCCCTGAAAAGCATCGCACATTTATTACATCCAAAAAGAATACGCGAACAATTGACGCTCATAAGCTGGAGTCTTGCAGAACCCTTGGTGTTAATAAAACTAAGGATTCTTTGTCTATGCCGATTAGGATATCCTTCCTCTACATGCATTTACATATTTGAAAATAGTGGGTTTCAGCAAAAAAAATTCTCATGGGAAAACAAAGACCTTTTAACCTTTATAATTTCTGATGTAATAACTACAAAAACACCAGTCAAAAGGAATAACCTACACGTTGTCCCCCAATCTGAAACTACAACTTTATCAAAAAAAGTACCCTAATAGAGGGCAATTACACTTTATACAGACAAACTAGGCCAATGATATCAAAGACAATAACACAATTTATACATTTAAGAAGTAAAGTTGAAGAGGCTTTCCTGGCTTAACAACATGTTCTACTAGCTACAGTGTAAAGGAAATTTTCAAATTACAAACATTTCCCTTAAAAAAAATATTAATATAGAATTTTCTTATTCCATTTAGACTTTCCCTGTTTCATGTGAACTGTTCACAGCTGAACGCAAAGAAAGAACTGCATATCAACGATCCCTATGAAATAGATAGAAGAAGAAAAACTGGT